TCATGCGTCATCAATTCGGAGTGTCAATTGCTTCGAGCCAACAGCGCAGAAGGGGCTTATCTGAACAACTCGTACTGTACGTCACAATATTCTTCTTGTGGCGTCGCCGCTGTATGGCCGAAACAAGGCGACGACCCAACGAGCTGCATACACCAGCGTTACAGAAGATTAGAATGATCATGGTTCAGTACCTTACCAACCAGATGGAAACTCAGGGTGAAGAAGCGTTTATCAGAAGGTGGCATACACGTTTTTTTTGGGAGTTTGGAACGGGAATATTGAACTTCCTTTACTGCCGTTTTAACTCGGGGGAAAAAATTGCTTCTCGTGGCACGTAATATTTGAATCTGTTCCAATTTACTGCTTTTTTGTGTTTATTTTCTCTTTGTTTTCTTGAGTGATTCGTAATCTGTGAGAATATTGGAAGTGCTGTGTGTTACATCCTGTCTCTGTTCTCTTGTTTGTACACGCCACTGAAGTGATTTTGTTACACCAGACAGTTGTACTCACCTGAAATGTTGTTACCAGTTTGCAATATACTTCCCAGTTTCGCCCCTAAAAGAAGCACGCTTCTGTGCATTTTTTGAGCGCCGCGACAGGCTTATCACGTGGTACGGATTGGGGGACCGCCATTGGCAGCTGTGCGCCTGTATGTGCTGTGAATTCTATTTGCGGGGTCCATGTCTTGTCGAGCAGCGCAGCTGAGCAATGCTTTTGTCGTGTAATTATGTCCGTTACGAATGAAAAAGCCAGTGCTCGCAAGTGAAAGCCATTGTGCAGCGTTATCTGTAGGAATAGGCTTCGAGAAGCTGGTCTGATTGGCGGCAAATGTTGGCTTGCAAAAGCCAATGCATCAAACGTCATTCACACCCGTCAGCCGGAAACGCGATGTGGCAATAGGTGACGTCACTGCCAATCTTGTGAGGTCGAAAGAGGTCGCAGTGAGGGAACTTAGCAAGGACGACATTGCCATTAGTATGTGGCACGAACATGGCCACAAAATTGCATGACACTAGACTTAGTTTGGATTTCACAGTCTTGTCGAACTTCTTCCTAGCTTGTAGTTGGCCCATGGCTCTGCCAGATGGAGCAGAAGTTTGGCAAGTGTTTCATGGCCCTGTCTGTGAGCGAAATGTGTGTGAGGATTTGGCTCGAGAAAGCCGAGAGGGATAAACGTATAGTGCTGGCGCATTTTAGTCGCAGTGACCATTACAAAAATGATTGTTCTTTTTGGTTGTCAAATTTCATCAGGTTTAATGCTATCTTTCATAAATAAAAACTCAATTTTAACTGTAAAACTTGTTTTTGTCAAAACACAAATTGTGCCATTCTTTCCAGTGTGCCCTTCCTTTTTTCGGGCACTTCTGGCGCTTGGATCTGTATGAAATTTTGCCCAAATTTTTTCATAAGTATGAAAAATGCAGTTATCCAGTTTAAATTGCAGTAGTTTATTGTATATTAAAACAATGTACGTAGAACTTTACTAAGGTAGGTGAAATATGGACTTTTTAGGTATACTATATTTCATGCACCTAAAATGTTTTTTGTGTGCTTTTAATTAGTTATTCGCATTCTACACTTTATTTCAAACATTATGAACTATGAATGGTAAAAAATTATGAAAGTTCAGGGATGAAAAGAAGGGGTGGGGGCAAAAGGGTTAAGGTTTTCACTTTTTCATGTTGCAGAGATAAAAGTATGCAACTTGCAAGAAAACTAATTATATATTTGAAATAGGCATAAAAAGTTTTATAAACAGCTCAAGTTTCATTGCTCTAGGGTGAATATTAAAAAAAGTGTCATCGAGTAGCATCTCCCCTTAAAATCAGCCAACGTTACGAGGTGAATGTAAAAGACGCCGTACATGACTTCCGTGTTATGTTGATCTTGTTTTGATATGCCGTTTACCTTCGTCATCTATTCACGTCACGTCATACCAAGTTTAGTATATGTGGAGCTAGCCAAACGACCACGAGCATGCCATGAGCGTGGTATGCTGTCATGTTCCTACATGACACGCGTGTCAGGATTATCATGTTTGCACCAGTCATATACTTTCGTCATACATTGAAGTCACTAACACCAAATTGGGTATATGTGCAGCTAGCAAAACGGCCGCGAGCGCATCATGAAGGGCCCAATATACTCCAATGTGGCGTTGACGCACGCGCACGCTGGACAAAGCGACGCTACTTTAGCAAAACGCGAAAACTCTTTGGGCACCGTTCAGTCAAGTTTTGCAGTCTGACTACAGCGCCAGAATACATAGCCTAGCAGATAAAAAAAAAGAAACATTGAGACGGCCTTGGTGAACATGGAACGCAACGCGAGCGTCTCGCGCCCTGCATCTGTCGGCGGATTGCTCCCGGGATACATTGGGGACGTGAGCACGCGTCTCTTTTCTGCATGGCCCCAACGGCGAATGTCAGAAACTTTGAGACGGGGCAGTGTGAGCAATGCAGTTTCCTCTGGCCAATGTGTGGTGCCTAGAGTCTGAAGCTAGGTGTGACTGGCGCGACCAGCGTCCGTCGGCGAGGCCCGACGGCAACAGGTGCGAAATGTGACATGCTGCCGATGCGTTACCCAGACAACACTGCGTCTCACTTTTTTCGTGACGGAGGGACGCTGGACGTGCTGAAACGTGCATGCGTCAAAGCAACGTAGCGCGGCGCGCGCCTGCGAGTATATGGCCGGACCGGCACCTGGTGGCACAACGCCAGCGTGACGCGTCGAAATGAACGCCGGCGAGCACGCGCACCGCGTCACGTCGAAATGTATTGGCGCCTTGACGGCGGCATGTAGTCACGTTCTCACATGACACACATCTCATGATTATCATGTTTACACCAGTCACATACCTTCGTCATTCATTGGCGTCACGTATTACCAAATTTGGCATGTGTGAAACTAGCGAAACGGCCGCGAGCGCGTCATGAGTGGGCATGTAGTCATGTTGTTACATGACACGCACTTCATGATTATCTTGTTCGCACCACTCACATACCTTCAGCACCTTCCCCAAATTCACCAAATTCGGTATCACGTACCGTAATACCAAATTTGGTATATGTGATGCTAGCGAAACAGCCGCGAGCGCATCATGCGCTTGGCATGTAGTCATGTTGATACATGACACGCATGTCATAATTTTCATGTTAAGGTCTATCACTTGTGTTCCCCATGCAATCATGTAATACCAGACGAGTTTTGCAACATGCCATGTGAACGAAAGCACCACAAGAGCTGAAAGAGCATGAAATGTAAATCATGTGATTCATGACATCTTTTCATGATTTTCATGTTATGACTAGTTGAACAAAACCTTGATAGAGTCATTTTATGCCATACCAAGTTTGGTATCGATAGCATTATCGAAACGGCCAGGAGAGCTAAAAGTCGTAAGCGGCTAGATAGATAGATAGATAGATAGATAGATAGATAGATAGATAGATAGATAGATAGATAGATAGATAGATAGATAGATAGATAGATAGATAGATAGATAGATAGATAGATAGATAGATAGATAGATAGATAGATAGATAGATAGATAGATACCCTTAAAGTCGCCGAAGTTTGCTTCATAGCAAACTCCGAAGAAATCACCGCAGAAATGCTTCGTATTCAAAACAGTCCAAGAAGGGACGTGGGAATAGAGCGCACCAATCGCGGTAGCCGCTTGCACGTCGTCGCTGCCGATCACAACACGCACTCCCCGCGTTGCTAGAGCTGGATGGATGGATGGATGAATGGATATGGCTGTACCCTTTAGATTGAGCGGTGGCTAGTGCCACCAAGCCGTAATACTTAATGAAGCAAAAACTAGATTTATTTTTTCCTTTAAATAGTGAGGTTGAGGATTCGTACTTGCCCGGCCGCGTTGGTGTAGTCGCTAAGGTACTCGGCTGCTGACCTGCAGGTCGCGGGATCAAATACTGGCTTCGGCGGCAGCATTTCCGATGGACGCGGAAATGTTGTAGGCCCGCGTGCTCAGATTTGGGGGCACGTTAAAGAACCCCAGGTGGTTGAAATTCCCGGAGCCCTCTACTACAGCGTCTCTCATAATAATATGGTAGGTTTGAGACGTTAAACCCCACATATAAATCAATCAAGATTCGTACTTTGCACCGAAGGGATTAATTTTCACTCGTGCCTTGGCTTTAGCCACCAATCAGATAACCTCCTTCTAGTTAATTCTACCCGCTTAAAGTCTATTTTGCCCTCCCTGTCCCTAAACACCAGTGCTTTGATAGACAGATAGAGCGAGATCGAACTACAGCACCCCTTGTGCTCGTGACCACCACGAGGCCCGCCACTCCGGTGGAGCTTCCATAGTTTTTATTCTAGTAACGTTGTCCATCCGTAGCCATTGGGAGGAAGATGTCCACCCCTTCCTCTGAGAAATTAGGGGGGAGGGACGCTTAAACTTCTCTTAAATTGCGATAGAGAAGGTGTTTTCTTCAAAATAATTAATAAATATAGGTTTTTTTCTGAACTAACCAAGACCTTAGGCAAGTGCTCCCCCTCTCCGCACGCACAAAATTTTGAGCACAGATCTGCAACAGATCTGTAATAATTCAATGAGGATGCGCAAACATAAGTATAATCATGAAGATTTCGCAATATCAATTATTTTATTGTACTATTTATTTTTTTCTTTCTCTCCATCTTCTGCACTTCGCATATGGGATTGTAGGGGTTAGTAGAGTCGTTGATGGTATAATTGAGCGACTGACTTCACTCTTTGAAAACGTGCTATGTGAATGGACGTATTATCTCAGCCTATTTGAGGGATGTGCTATTGCTTAAGTAAACTGCAGTCAAGTTTTCGTTTTAATGGAAATAATTTATCTACACACACTGTGTTTATGGGATCGCTAGGTACACTATCTGAACTAAGTTCATCCATATAGATACACTAGCTTCATTTAAAGCCAGATAAATTGTTAGGATGTCTTTCAGGTCTTCGTGAAATACCTCGCAGAAAATGACCTGTGCAGTTTCTGTTTCACAAGATATGTTTATTTATACGAAGTCATCAGATATGTCTTTTAGCGTGATATGTCTCCTAGTGTATCGTCAACCGGTGTAGAAAGGTGAGTTACGTTGTCGTGGTCAGTAGGGTAGCAGATTCCCTTATGACACAAACCAACAATCCGGTCCTTGTTTTCATCGCCATCGTCCGCCTGTAACAGATGCAAATTGGTGAAGTATACACAATGAAATAAGCAAGTAAAACTGAATAAAACGGGCGCATTGTTAATGCTTAATCGCAACCGGCCTCAGTGTGTCGAGGCAATATTCGGGTTGTCTGCGGAGGAATTCGTCCCGAATCTGAGGCTCTGAGCGAACGATATGGTCGGCTGTGGATCGGCTCCCTCGAAATCCACACTGGTTCTGGTCTACTAAATTAGGTTTTTCGAGAAAATGTACTCAACGGTAGTTTACCACTTTTTTCGAAGGCTTTACATAAGCAAATTGTTAGTGCGATTGGTTTGCAACCAGAAAGACTGGATGGATTTTTTCCTTTTTTCGAGACTAGGTTTACGATGGCCTCTTTCAACGCAGGCGGGATCTCGGCGGAAGTCCATACAGCGTTATAGAGGAGGAGAAGGGTGTTCTCTGTGTCGTGAGGTAAGTGGTTAGGCATTTGGTACATAAGACGGTCAGAGCGTGGTGTAAATTAATTGCAGCAGTTTAGCCCTGCTCGCGTCTCAGCTATAATGAATGGATCAATAAATGCCTAATTTTTGGCGCGTTTTCTTTCTCAATTTTAATTTTCTATCGCTGTTTGGTATCTTTTGAACGTGTTGAAGTTGTGCGAAGACCTCGGCACGCGTTCGAAATGTGCACCCAGTAAATTTGCATGACCTCCCAGGCTGTTGCCATCAGTGTTTACTATAAGAAACTAGTGTTGTTTGGCCTCACATCTCATCTATCTTGTTCCAGGCCTTAGCCTCATTTGTATAAGAGATAAGTTCCAATAAAAACTTGTGCCAGCTTTACTTTCTTGCCTGTCGGCGTATTCTTCAATCTTGAAACCTAATCTGTTAAAGGTTAATAAGATTCTCAGCAGTAGAAGAGTCCCGCAGTAGTCCACGTGCTTTTTTTTTTGCTAGCTTTCCGACAATCTTCGTTCTACGACGGCACGCGCCGTTTGGCAGCAATACCATTCGATATAGGAATATATTGCGAAGCAATCTCAATGATAAAAGCAGTAAACAAATTTCAGCAGCAGCATCGATTTTTGAAAACGACATCTCATCTCACGAGATACTCGTAACAGCTCCTAGTCTGCTGCTCCTAGTCTGCTGCTCCTAGTCTGCTGCCTCAGTCCTACACTTTGGAGGAAATTGTGGAGATTCGTTTTCTATTGTTGTGCTTAAGAATATGAGGAAATGGTCGCTATCACATGGGTCTTTAATAACGTCCCAATTAAAATCGACTAAAAGGGTGAGTGACACGATGCTGAGATATATTGATGAATGGTTTTGTTAGCAAGCTTCGACATCCTACCAGTAACGAAAGGTAAAGACTGCAGCAGGTCCACGGGACGGCTTTCAGCTCTCCCATAGTGGAGTACTAAGTGCTCTAAATCGTTCACCACTTTTTCTAAACACACAAGCTTTAAAAAAATCTCAGCACGTCCACGGAGCGAATGATGAGTGGGGCGAAGCATCCGTCAGCCCCGTCTGTGCTTCTGTCCGTCCATTCGTTCTTGCTTCCGTCCGTCCGCACGATCATCTGTGCGTCAATATATGCATCCGTCCGTCTGTCCGTGCGTCCGTTCATGAGTCCGTTCATCCATCAGTACGTCGGCGTGTTCATTCATCCGTCCGTCTGTCTGCTCGTCTGTCTGGCCGTCCGTGTGTGCGTCCGTTCGTGCGTCCATCTAGTGAACACTCCAAGTACCGCCATCTCCCATCTCGCAACCCCTGTTGCATATACGCGCTTTTGATCGGGTACATGCCACCGGTGGCTACGTACATACATACATACATACATACATACATACATACATACATACATACATACATACATACATACATACATACATACATACATACATACATACATACATACATACATACCATACATACATACATACATACATACATACATACATACATACATACATACATACTTGCATACATACATACGGAGGACGAGCGACAGACCCACGCCATAAGGAGCTTCACCCCTAAAAATGTTGGCTCCTTTTTATTGAGCAGACATGCACTAGTGGACAACAGAAACTCCTGAATCGTACGGCCTTGGACTTCACTGCGAGGATCTCCCCACAGGCTGCTGCGTGCATTGAAATCGCCAAGGACAAGGTATGGTTTTGGCAATTCATCAACAAAAGACTGAAAGTCATGTTTATACAACTGGTAGTTGGGGGTAAGTAGAGTGAGCAAAGTGATGTGCGCTTGTCGAAGAGAACAGCTCGAACATCACTGCCCCGAGGGGCGTTTGCAGCTGCAGAACCTGACACGATATGGTTTTGCCTATCAAATGAGAATCATTTCTTTGCAAACTTCAGTGACTTAGAGCGTATCTATCTATCTATCTATCTATCTATCTATCTATCTATCTATCTATCTATCTATCTATCTATCTATCTATCTATCTATCTATCTATCTATCTATCTATCTATCTATCTATCTATCTATCTATCTATCCATCCATCCATCCATCCATCCATCCATCCATCCATCCATCCATCCATCCATCCATCCATCCATCCATCTATTTATCTATCTATCTACTTGGGAAGTAAAAACAGCGCAAAAATATAGACAAGGGCAGAGGAAGAGACGACACCGCGCTGAACTCGCAACTACACTTTATTGGAAGATACACTTCACAGTATGAACCACCAACTTCCAAAGTATGAACTTGGGAAGTTTTGCTTCTCAAGTATTAACCACCAACTAGCCCAACGTTCGCTATTATTGCTATCTATCTAGCCACCTACGACTTTTAGCTCTCCTGGCCGTTTCGATAATGGCATCGATACCGAACTTGGTATAGCATAACATGACTGACAAGCGCGTCATGTAAGAACATGACAACATACCACGCTCATAGCGGGCTCGCGGCTGTTTCTTCATCTCTACATATACACAATTTAGTATGACATGACGTGAATAGATGACGAAGGTAAACCACACCTCCAAACATGATAATCATGACACGGAAGTTATGTACAGCATAATTTACTTCCACCTCGTAACGTTGTGCTGATTTTAAAGTGACATATCAACATTTGGCATTCTCGCTTCGCATATCATCGATTCCCCCTGTACGTGGGATCTGCCATTTTTTTATGATAGCAACACTGCCAGGAAATGCGAGAGCGTCATGGCAGTCTTTGCGAAAGATGGCATATTATCGGAGAAATTTAGTTTGTGTTGGTTGTAAGTATAGTTCCTGCACACACGTCACTTTTGGTGTGCGTTTTGAAGAAGCTCTTGAACGTCATCAAGGTTCCTAAAAAGACCCCTGACATTTCATTGCATAATTTTGGTACCCACAATGAAAACGAGTTAGTGCTGTTTTTGTATTAGTAATACATGTACTTGCAACCTGACCTAATAATGCATTTTTTAGAATTACGCCAATATTCTACAGGCTCTCAAAACAAGCCCGCTCTACAAAACTGTAGTAGTTTCAGGGATTAAAGCGAGCACTTGGCCTTGTCAGTACTCAATAAAATGAATTGTGAAAAAAATTCAATATAGCTCACCCAGCAGTATATGCCATCCTCGTAAAACCCATAAAGCCAAGTGTTGTTTTCACGAATGTATCTGCAGTAGTAACTGCAATCTCGAACTCCTGCTTGCTGGAAGCATGAAAAAGTAAAAGCAACTTTCAAATACTTTTATTTAATGTTGAAGAAAAACAGGATGCATAGGGGTGTAAATCGTTTCCACGAAGGACAATACGATGATGGCATCGAGCAAGTGGTGTCTTTCGCTGCTTTTGTAACATTAGAACTGGCGTCTACAATACCGAAAAACTCGTTACCTTCGTTCTCACGCACCTTTGAAACATTGGTATTTCGTGCTCATTAAACTGACATTGCAATATCGAGGTCCTGCTCAACATTGCGCACAAATCTTTATTCCCCAATTTCGGGCCTGAAGGTACGCTACTTTTAATCATGGCAAGTGCTGTGTTCTTCCGCTGCAGCTTACTTATCTTATAGTTGTTTTGCTTATTAGGTAAACCATACTCTAAACAAACATTTCACCAGTCTTAGCGGATTTAGCAAGCATCGCTGCAACGAATAGCTGAACAACAGAAAACATTGGAACCGTACTTCCATGTTTCACTGCAAATGTCGTCGAAAGACGATAGTGTTGCGTGTGGAGAGAGTGAACAGAACGTTTATTTGATGTTCTGCGCAAGAAAATCAGTGAATTATATTCTTGAAGCGCTGCGTTAATGAGTATGGAACCGTGCAGCGAAGGCGAACAAGCGCATCGAGGCACGTTAGACACCAGCGTTATCTGGCAGTTGTCTTCGAAAACGAAGGAAGGCGTGCGCGCCCATGGATAAAGATGCGCGCCTGTTTCGGAGGCGACAAGGTGTAGAACGCAAAGCGACGGGCAGCTGCCACCATTGTGTCGTCTTAGCAAATCCTCGGGAACCTTTGCCTTTTTGAGCATCGCGTTGTACTTTCAGTGCAGCGTGATGAACGCTACGGTCTTTAGAATCGCTTATGTGTGCCTATTCCAGTATAAAAACACACATACAAAATATTGACATGTTGTTATAGTGCCTCAGATATGTGCAACATTTGCTTTTTAATTGATAATCGCACAAGTATTACGCTGAAACTTGAGCAATATTGGTGGGCGCCGCGGAAGGAGTTGGCCATTTTGAGCACCGTTTGGGCGATTGTTACAGCGGACCGATAGAAATTTTAGCGTCGAACTTTATTGCACCACCGGGACAACTTATTCAAAGGGGGACGGCTCAGTGCTCTCCCATAGTTGAGTACGAAGTACTCAATATTATTAAACAATTTCTCTAACCACACTTCGCATGAGTTCTTGTGTACACGTATGCCAACATTGCCATGTATATTAGAGCAATGATGTGTTTCTTTCAACGTAGTGATGTTTGTCGTGGTACATAGATCTGCCGAAGCGTATGTATGCCGAAGTGTATGCCGAAGTGTATTACTGCAATGTTACGAAACTTTTTTTTGTACATAGTGTAAATAAACTTTCTGAAGACAGTACCTCAAGAAAGACTATCGTCTCTAAAGTCCTAGAGATTAGCTAGCTTATAATAAGCCTGAAAGAGATGCCTTGTTTACAGTAAGAAAGAGAGGTCAGCCTGAGTGATGCTTTACTATGGCCTGCTGCCCTACATTGGCGAACGGTGACACGGAAGCAACCGAAGGACGAAAGGCGATTGTAACTTAAGGAGGTGCTTATATAGTTTCGTCACGTTGTGTCAAAACTAATGACGCGCATCTAGTCCGCTGGCTCTTATCTAGTCTGATGGCACTCTTATCTAGTCCGCTATCGCATCTAGTCCGCTGGCACTTTTGCGCCGCTGGTGTTATGATAGAAACCTCAGGCAACCTGATCGGTTTATGGTCTACGAGGAAATGATATGATTAAATAAATCAGTTTCTGATGTTACCGTGTGTATGAAGTTACCACTCTGACGTTACCGTGTGCCTAACACACACAAATTATTTCTACCAGCTTCATTGCATCTTTTTAAAGGAATGAATGCAAAGCATTTTTACAAATATTTTTTCCGGTGAAGGTGGAGCCTTCAGTCCAGGGCCCCTGTGGCCTGTGCCATCTTGCAAGATCTGTCGATCAGCTTGAGCTGTTCTTCAGGCTCAGAGAAGGGCAGCGCAGCCTCTCACTACTCCGGTGTTGGTGTACAGTTTCTTGGCACTACCTGCGTGTGTTGGCAGGCCCATGTCACGTGGTAAAGTGTGGGGTGTTCTCTGCAAAGCGGGCATTTGTTGGCGTATATTCCAGGATAGATTTTACTAAGAAGACTGAGGTTGGGGTACGTATTAGTCTGCAGCTGTCTCTAGGCAACCGACTGCTCTCTGCTGAGGTATTTGTGAGGAGGCGGGTATATCCTTCTCAGAGCTCTGTGGTGTTGTGAAATCGCTCCATAGCACCTAGTAACTGTGGCTGGTTCCTCGTCGTTGTGCGCCCCCCGGTCAGCGTATTCTCGGGCAATGGTGTCGGCACGCTGGTTCCCTGTCACAGTTTCATGTCCTGGTGTCCACGTAATGGACCAGCTCGAGAAGTTGATTTTTCTTCCCTTGAGTATACGGACGGCAGCACTGGATATGTGTCCACTGCTCTACCGTCGACACGTTTTTTGCGAGTCAGTAACTATTTCTGTAGTGGAGTCTTCGCTCTGATGTGTGATGGCGAGCGCGATCGCTACTTCCTCAGCCTCGAGGATACTGTTGCTTCTGATCGAAGCACTGTTGACTTCCCTAAGTTGGTGATCAACAACGCTTACAACTGTCCCGGAGTGCTCTCTGTATGTGGTCGCGTCAACGTACAATACGTCGGTTCTCGCCTTGCAATTTTTTCTTGTGCTTCTGATCTGGCTTTTCTTACTTCAATAATCTGGCGAATGTACTTTGGTATGCTCGCCGTGTTATTGATTTCTCGGCAAGCATCCCTCACGCCCAATGTCTGCAACGTGTACCTGCCCGCACCTTCAACAGTAGTAGCATTTTATGCGCAAGATGCGCCTCGATGTATTCTTGCACTGTGTTGTTTATCATGAGTTAAAGGAATTTCTCTGTCAAGGTGCTGACAGGTAGTCGAAAAGCCCACTTGTAGGCTTTTCTGAGGATTCCCTCTAATTGTTCTTTTTCAGGTGGGAGTGGTGTGTGGTAGGGGACACTGTATACAATTGTACTGACCACGAGGGCCTCTACAAGCCTACAAGTGTCCTCCTACTTCATACCCCGTCTTCTGTTAGAGATTCTGGTGATCATCCTCGTGATCGGCGCTGTAGTGTTTGACAGCTGTCTGACGGTGTGGTCTATACAACAGTTGCTTTGTATCAACATGCCGAGAATCTTAGTTCGGGACACTTCTGGAATCTTCTTCCTCCCTATATAGATGTCTATGGAGTTTTGCAGATCGTATCCTCGTCTGTAAACTCTCAGGACTTTTGTTTTTTTCTGGAGAGCAGACGAGGAAGCATTGACGCACGTAGTCGAGAACTGTATCAGCTGCGCGTTGCAGAAGATCTTGATTTTGTCCTACAGATCCTTTTGTCACCCAGATTGTAACATCGTCTGCGTCGCTGGCATGTCTGAGTCCTTCAATGTTTTTGAGGTTCCAAGCTAAGCCGATCATAACAATGTTGAGCAGCATCGGCAATATCACAGGACCTTGGGGTGTTCCTTTTGTGGGCACATTAAACGTATCAGTGCGGATGCCTCCTATACCAATTTTGGTGGTTCTGTTACTGAGAAAAGCTTTGATGTAGTTGTGTATTCGCTTTACACAACCTAATTTGCTAAGCCCCTCTAGCACAGCCTTATGACTGTCATTGTCGAAAGCAGCCTTAAGATCCAGTGCAAGTAGTACGTTTTCGCCATATTTTGGTACATCGGTAAGCACCTACTTCTTGATTTGTAGAAGCACGTGCTGTGTTGAGAGGCATTTTCGGAAGCCAAACATGGTGTGCGGCATGAGTTCGTTGTCTTCCGGATAGGTCTGCAGCCTCTGAAACACGATCCTCTCATATAATTTTCCCAAACATGAGGTCAACGAAATGGGTCTTAAATTTTTCAAGCTTGGAGCCTTTCCAGACTTCGGAATCATTTTTATTTCCGCATGTTTCCACTCGTTTGGGACGGTACCCTGTTCCCAATGTTTGTTGATGAATTCTGTAAACCTTGTCATAGATTTGTCATCGAGGTTCTGTATCATAGCGTTGCTAATGCCATCCTTTCCTGGCGTAGTGTTTTTTGTGTCTGGCAGAAGGGCTGTCGAACTTCTGTGGTAATGGGTTCGTCTAGAGCGGGATTAGATTCACCAGTGTATGCCAGGCTGCAGTCAGTATTCGTTGTATCGCCAATATAGCGCAGCTTGATGTGTTCTAGCAGTTCCCGGTCCGTGCCTTTGAATCGGTGGGCAATCTTCGGGGCCGTCTTACAAGTTTCAATCTTGGTCGTGGTTGGGTCTATCAGGGCCCTCAGCAAGGCCCATGTCCTTTTCCAACCTAGTGTACCTTGTAGCTCGCTGCATTTTTGGTCCCAGTTGCGCCTTGACAGCTCCGTCGCATACTCTTCGGCTTCCCTGGTGACTGCGGCGATCCTAAGTCTCAGTTTGCGGTTGTGTTTCTGCCACTTCCGTCTTCTTAATAGGCCCCGGCGGGCGTCCCAGAGGTGTAAGAGATGCTTGTCCACCTCGGGCGTGTTTGTAGATAGGGTAACTGCTCAGGTTAATTGTTTCCAGTCTGCCTTGATTCCCGAGACCCAAGTCTCAATGTCCGCAATTTCTTTATCCTCGGATTCTGCCCTAGTTTTTGTAAAAGCTTCCCAGTCTGTAAGTCGAGCCAGGCCATGTCGTTTCTTAACCGGGAAGGTTTCTATCTGGATACGCAAAATGCAGTGGTCACTGCCAAGCGTTTCCCCGCCGTTTTCCCATCTGGCCTCCATGACCCCTTTAACGAACGCCAAGTCCGGGCACGTATCTCGGTTGATACTACTCGCCCCTCGCGTTGGTTGAGTGTGGTCTGTATTGAGGCTTCGCTTTCTGCGATCAGCTTCTACAGCCAAATCCCTGCCTTCCTGAGTTTCTTTGACGTATCCCCACCCCTTGT